GGCGTTGCAGGGGTCCAAGTAGTACTTGCTCACGATATGCGGCCGGCAGCCGCGTTCGTCGCCCGGGCATGCAGATCAATCTGCCGGCAGCCGGCGAGGGCGACGGGTGGGTGAACGACGGCAGCAAACATCGCATTTATCGCGTTTCTTCCAGTGGTTCGTCGTACGAAAATCGCGGGTGGGCAGCGTACGAGGGCGGGCCCGGCAGGCAGGCAGGCAGGGGGAGGCGCATTTATAGCCTCATGTGCCTCGCCACGTCCCGATCTGCCGATGCCGCGGACGCGCGCGCGCGGCCGGCGAGATCGATCGATCGATGGGAACATGGGCTGATCGAGCCGCCTCTCGTGCATGGGCGGCGGCCATCATTGTGTCGGAGGTGGGTGGCGAGCTAGCGGAGCTGCATGCTGTGAGATGTGGCGGCAGCGGCATCGTCGATCGCTGTCTGTGGATTGGGAAAGTTAAGCCTGGTTGGCGAGGCTGGCTGCATATGTCTCGAGGGCCCGTACCGTACGTCCTTTTATATGTGATGAGAGGAAAAAAAGATTTGAAGGGAGCTAGCTGCTCCCGGATCTGAGGAGCTGTTCACTTCAGCTACAGTCGCCGGACGGCAGCGCTATAGTCGGTTTGATGCTTGCTAACGGCAAACCGCGCTCGCCTGGACGCTGTAGAGATCTTTTACTGTGCTTGGAAGGTACTCCAGGTACCTCCTTAACGAATTGTTATCCACCGTTAATCTTTAAAGGCTAATTTAGGAACAAAAATTTTTATTAACATGGATAGCTTAGTAATTGCTTAATTCCCACCCCGTCGAGTGCCTAACAAATCGGCCATCCACGATGTCATGCAGGTGGCGAGTGGCTCACCTCAATCGATATTCAGAATATGTACGTAGTGATCAAATAGCCAAATTAGGCGCAGAAACCAGCAGGGGATCGGATGCGCAGCACAGGGCATTGTTGATTTGTTTTTGCTGGCAAAATCGATCTTCAGAACCTGGAATACAACTGCTGGCTGCATGAAGGCATGACGACAAAGAACGAGCAAGGAACTAGCAGAGTAGATAGCAGCCCGAGGATTCGTGCGGCGGCGGTGACGGCGACATGCTGCTGCGTACCTCAGCTGCGACCGGCGGGCGTTACGGGCGCGTGCGACAGCGGTATCCGGCTCGAGCGGCAGGCGTGTGCGGCCTGGGCGAGCGGCGGGCTTTTACGGCAGCGACGATCAGCAGGTAGTTCATGTAGGTTCCTCTTGCACGCGTTCTTATTCTTCCTCTCGTTTTTTTCTTCCTCCTGCTGAAACGTTTGTAGCTTCTCTCGCTTTTGCCCTTTACCGAAAAATAATTTAATGAAAAACAATTACCATTTTACCCTTCCACCTTCCATACCTGGCATACCCTTTTAATACCTTTTTCCATGTACCTTCTCTCTCTATCCATTAGATCATTGCTGATCAAGGGTCCTAATTAATTTCAAGCATTAAAGAAGATCTCGTATAGTATATATTGCTAAGATTACTAAATTATATTGTTGAAAAACTACTTCAAATTTAGAAATCTAAACTTTGGTGGGCCATGTACGAAAGATAGATATCCAACCGACGACATGTTCTCTATACAACCATCAGTCAATCTATAGTTATAATCTAGATTGACCATGATTAAAGGCAAATAACTTTCTCTATTTTACATCTTTGATTAAAGTGGCAATTTTTAGGCCCACAAAACTTATAAACTTCTAGAGAGTAGATCTTTGGATAATATATAGTAATAGATAGCACACGACCAATGGTTGTCCCTGCTGTTGTATCTATACTTGTTACTACAAAATTTCTGTTTTACTTAAGTTCATTTTCCGTTTTTGGAAACCATATATAATCCTAAATTAGTTCTTCATAAGTTAGAGTACACTAATCGTATTAATGTTTTACTTATTTGAACCGATTTTTGATATGTTTGCTTTATCTAGCTTGTTAAATTGGTGCTATGAATACTGATTGAGGTTATGCAAAATTGTTGCCTAAAAGGAGATTTAGATAGGTACTCCTAGTTCAGGATATGCTAGCTGTAGAGAGACTTTTGAGTAAAAAGAATTCATTGTAGAGTGTCCTATTTGTACAGTTTAAGCCACAATTTATGTGCAAAAGCCAGGTGATAGAACATTGTACTTGAATATTGTGTAATCATGGAAACACATCATTTGAATTTTACTTGAATCTTAACTAAATTAATGTTATGCTTTCACAAAAAGTAACACTAACCCCAAGCTCTATGCACATCTAAGAATATATATGAAATTGAAGTTTGATGTCATGGCAGTGTGATGATCAAACTCACTACATGTGCTTTCTTGCAATGATGTCTTTCAATTTTGTGCATTTGTCTCTCACCATTAGAATCCTAGTATAACTACAACCTACAATGCTTTCCTCATTGTAAGAATTTGGATGAATCATATGTACTATTAATATAATACATATTCCTTTACCAACCAGCCTTGGAAACCATTAAAATAATTGTTTATTTGTTTTGATATAGTAAATTCCAAAAAGATCAATACCATATATTCATCATCAAATATTACAATGGGTTAGTGATTCTACAATGATGAATTATGCACCTCTCATGGTCGAGGTAAATTTTTATGGCTACTTTTCACGCTGAATTAAGTAAAAAATATAAATACCGTTCATATAACATACTATATCATGATTATTCAAGGAGGGAGCTAGGAGAATTTTAGAGTGAAAACTGATTTATCATATACTGTATCACAATTTTGGGATTAGTCTACAGAAGAGGTTAATCAGCCAAGTGTCTAACACTTGTGTAGTCATATTTGCACAACAACCATAAATATCACATTAACAACAGAGAACCGTCGCAACAAACACCGTTTTTACATAAATAATACATTATTTGATTTTTTAGCAAAAACATGACTGACTTCACCTAAATTTAGTAAATTGATTATTGATTGCATACCAACTATAGCATGAGGACCTTTATGAACACATATATTTCAAGTGTTGTATATTTATTGACTTCACAACACACAAAGTGACAAAAAGAGTTTCAAAGTACTCTATATAAGTCTTAAAAAAAACTCTCCATATATATACTTTCGTTTTTTTTCCTGGCAACAATTATAACGACACCAATTTTCATAAATAACCAACAATCCCATTGTTGCACCACATATTGGAATTCAAAGTTTAGAGTACTTGCAAAAAATTGAAGTTTCAAATAAAAATGAAAAACCATGGTTAATAAATCTAGCACAAGAATAAAGCAAGATATTGACATGCTTTAGAAGAGCTCTCCAAGTATACACTCTTCTAGATATAAACCTTAACAATCCCAAACTAAAAAAAGTTAAGCCTTGCCTTTACCATACTGCTACTACAAATCCTAGTATTATATATGTTCTTCCACACTTTCAGCTAAAAGAACACATTAAGTGCTTAATACTACTACGTGTTGTTAAATTTGCATGTAGTAATTCTGATATCCACACCAAAAATATCTTCCACATGCATGGCATGAGTCATGACAAGTAGGGAGTAGCAAATAAAGGAGGCCAGACTAAGGTGGTGTTTAGATCCAGGGACTTAACTTTAGTCCCTGTCTTTAGACATTAATTTAGAGTATTAAATATAGACTACTTATAAAACTAATTACATAAATAAAAGCTAATTCACGAGATAAATTTTTTAAGCCTAATTAATCTATAATTAGAGAATGTTTACTGTAGCATCACATAGGCTAATCATGGATTAATTAGGCTCATTAGATTCGTCTCGCAAATTAGTCCAAGATTATGGATGGGTTTTATTAATAGTCTACGTTTAATATTTATAATTAATTTTCAAACATCCGATGTGATAGGGACTTAAAAGTTTTAGTCCCATCTAAACAGGGCCTAAAGCCTGTAAAGTATGGCAGCATGCATGCTTGTGATAACCACTTGTACAACGTACTCCTATGGTAGGAGTATAGTGGGTGTACACAGTGTTAGTCCTATCATTGCTCATTGCCTCATTCCATGATTTCCATCTTACAAGCAAAGCAGTCATTAATGGCGACCCCATAGAAGAGGGATATATAGGAGAGAGGGTTAGCTAGCTGCTCAAATCATGGTATATGCATGCCTAAGCTCATCTTCCCCTCCCCCACAAGGCCACAACTAATTACCCAGCCTTAAAGTTACAGACTTACAGTACACAAGCTAAGGTAGTGTCCATGTGGAAGCCAATCAGAGAAGAGAGCAGAAGTGAGCAATCATGGCCGACCCCTCATCTCTCTCTCTCTCTCTCTCTCTCTCTCTCTCTCTCTCTCTCTCTCTCTCTCTTCTCTGGCATCTGTCACAGAGTGCTGCATCAGTGAGTGCAGGCAGCAGGCCAAGGCCTGAAGAGCCTGAGGTAAAATGGTTAAAAAAGGCTTGTACTGTGCCGCTGGTGGCAATGCAAGAGCATGTAAGACAGACAGGATACTAATGTCACACACACATAAAACCTTTTCCTTGTGGCATTCTTGCCATGCCCAGTGATGATAGGTGGGATAGATGGCAGCATGGCACGGTGCAAAGGAAAGCTGTGGCTGCCTGCTGCTGCTGATGCAGAAGCAGGGAAAGAGACCCAACCAATCACATGGATATAGGGGAGAGGGGAAATTGCAGTTGTGTGTGTGTGAGGGTGTGTGCGGCCATGGGGGGAGGTGAGTGAGGCAATTCTTTTCAAAGCTTAAAGCATGCATTAAATCCAAACCTTTTGGTTGTTTTGAGGAAGGTATATATGAGGGCCAGCAAGCATTGTCATGCGGCTCTTTTTCTCAGTTCCAAACAAGGCTTTGAAAAAAGAAGAAAGCCCAAGATATAATAAGGATGGCTGGAGATACTTGGATTGCATAAAGAAAAACACTTAGGGCGGGGGAGATTTGTTGCACAGGCATGCATGCACCATCTGTTTCCAGCCTACACTACAGTATAAAGAAAAGAGGCCACAAGTTTTGGAAAAGATGAAAGATAGGCTCCTCTCCCAATCCATCACCATCCCACTTATCAGTTTTGAGAACAACATCGGTCTAGTAGCAACTGCTCCTGAACCCACAGGAGGAAGCAAAAGCATGTCCATGCATCAGCAACAAAAGAGTAAAAATCAAAACAAAGCAAAGCAAGCTCGAACCTACATCGATCAACTACACCTAGCGCAACGCAACAGCCAACAGACACAGAGGCTTGCTAAGCTAAGCTAAAGCTTGCCATCGTGTTGCTGCATTCTCACAAGCCTAATTCTAAGAAGCTCCGAGTGAATTCTTGAAACAAAAACCAATGACATGCGCAGCAGCAGAAGAGATCGATGGAAAACCAACCAACCAACCAACCGATATGTAGTAGCATCAGTAGTAGTGCACTTGTGCTACCTCCAAACTTTGCTCCTCCCGAATGCAATCGACAATTCCTGCATGTCAAGAACACCAAAACCAGCAGCACAAGATTGATCAGCTAACTAACACGAGAAAAATTCTGAACTAATGCAGGTTAGCCATGAGAATTCTCGGTTTTTTTTTCTCACCGTGATGGAAGTGGAGGAGCTAGCTGATAGTCTGGTACATGGTGTGGTGTTTGCTCATGGTGGATTGGTGGTGGTGAAGTCATCTGCTCGCCACTGCTGCGGTCAGTGGTGAGAAGCCGAGGAGACAGACGACGGCGGCGGCGGCTTGTCGCCATTGCCGCCGCCGCCGCCGTTGTGCTCCTCGTCGCCCTGTATCCTCGCGGGGAGGCGGAAGCCGGAGAAGCCGATGCCGGGAGCGGCAAAACCGATGGCCGCCGACACGGAGGGGCTCAGCCCTCCTTGGTGGTGGCTCATCTGGTTGTCGGCTTCGACGGTCTCCGGCCATCCTCGCTCGGAGGGCTGGTTACTGGACTGAAGGGGTCCCCTCTGGAAGAAGAACTGGCTCTGGTGGCCACCCAGCGCCGCAGCCGCCGCCTGCATATGCGCCGCTTGCTGCGACACGTTGAACAGGTAGGCGGCGCCGCCGCCGCCGCCGGGGTCGGGCACGTTCCACGGCAGCATGCGCTGGTTCTGCGCCTGCTGCTCGGTGGCCCACATGGCTCCGCCGCCGAACGAGTAATTGGCGGCGCCGGAGAAGAGCGCCTGCTGCGTGGTGCCATTGCCGCCGCCGCCGCCGCCGCCATGGCGATGTTGCTGGTGGTGGAACATGGGGTCTGGTAAGGACTGCAGCGACAGCCGGAGCTCCTGGCTCTGGCTGCCGGTGCGGGACAGGAGGTCAGGCGTGTAGCTCTGGAAACCCATGGCCGACGACTGCGCCGCCGTGGTGGACGACGATGCCTCCCCGCCTGCGGTGCCACCCATGGGGAAGAAGGACTTGATCGTGTCGGCTATGGCGTCCGAGTCGAGCGACGGCGGGAGGAAGCTGGTCCCGCCGCTGCCCCCGCCGGCGAAGTCGAAGGCGGTGTGCGCGACGGTGATGGCCTGCGCCTGGTCGTCGGAGTTCTCGGCGGAGTCGGGGTGGGTCGAGGAGGACGGCGGCGCGGCGGCATTGCCCGCGCCTGCGCCGCCGGCAGTGGGCTGCCACGCCGGCAGCACGTCGAGCTTGTCGATGGCGTCCTTGGCGTTCTTGATGAGCCAGTCCACCGCCTTGCTCGGGCGGTCGTAGCCCAGCCGGTCCTGCACGTCGTAGAACTGGATGGCGGTGTGCGCCGACAGCCGCACGCGGCGGTCGCGCGGCCCGCGCGCCGTGCAGACCTTGCTGTGCCGGTCCTTCCGCCCTGTCGACCGCACAATGTGCCCGCCCTGCACCGCCACGATCTCCCCGCCGCCGCCGCCGCCTCCGCCCCTCGACCGTGGAGTTGTCGTCGCGGGGACAATCTCACCTCCACCTCCACGACCCCGAGTGTGGGACGCGGCGGGGGGCTGTGGCTGCGCCGTGAACTGATGCAGGTGGTGGTGGTGGCCGACGCCACCGAAGGAGAGGAGCTGAGGCTGGAAGCCGTGTTGGTGGTGGTGGGAGTGGCCGCCGGCGTCGCCCATGGGCGAGAGAAGGGCATACTCGGCGGAGGAGCCCGACAGCTGCCTCACGGACGCCGGCTGGAGGTGGAAGACGGGAACAGGCGGCGGTTCTTGGTCCTGCTGCACACCCTGGTGGTGGTGGAGCTGGAGAAGCCGGTGGTGGTCGTGCTGCTGCTGCTGCTGCTCATCTGCCTCCTCCTGTCCCCCGCTTCCTCCTCCTCCTACGCCGCCGCCGTCGCCGCCGTGGGTGACCCGGTGGTGGTGGTGCCTCGGATCCAGATCCCCCGCCGCCTTCTTCCCCGCCGCTACTGTTGCTGCTCCAATGCGCGTCCATCCACCTCGCCGGATCCCATAACTAGGTCGACAAGAAACACAAAAACCATCAAAAGAATCAACAAGAAGAAGGCCCCGGAGGAGGAGGAGGCTGCAAGAAGAAGAGGTGGTGGCCAGGGAGGGACTGACCCAGGAGAGGAGTGGGGGACTAAACTAGACGCAATCCCATGGATTGGACATCACATTTTAACAGGGGGGACGGCCAGCCAAAGCTTTTGCTCCTCTCTCACTCTCTTGTTGGGTTTGTGTGGGAAGCTTGGTGAGCAGGAGGCAGAAGGGAGGCAAGAAGACAGGATGATAAGAGTAGGATTTGTGCTTTAGTGAGGAGAGAGAGAGATAGAGATTTTTGCTTCACACTGCTGCTGCTGATGCTGGCTGCTGCTTTGTGTGTGAGTGTGTGTATCAGAAGCAGATGGAGCTTACCTTAGCTTGGCTGGGGCTGCAGGAGGCTGGAGCCCAAGTGATGAAGAGAGGTGGTGATTTGGGAATTGGGAAGGGATGGATGATGCTGGGGGATTGTGGGTTATGCATGCGTGGATGATTAGGACATCTGTTGTATTATTAAAAAACAGTAGACAACGATCGAATCGCGATGAAACTCGAACACACACACGTGTACGTGCCTTTGGGAAAAAAAATAAAAACCGGAGGCACACACCCTAGTCTCCATGGATAAGGAATTAAGCGCATCTCGATAGCTTTATGGTAATATATAGCAATTTTAACTATGTTTATATATACGTTCGTGTATATGTAACCGCTAGTATCTACTCGCACAATTGTGGAGTGATCTACTTAGCCGATTTTTCTTTTTTGTTGTACAGTAGACATGTTTGTCATGACATGAATATCTATGCTCTTCAGAAGCTAACTTGTGGTATTCTTAGAGAGTGCTTGTACTATAATTCTTGTAGTTGGGCAGTTGCATAGGCAAGTAAGATGGCAACTGGAGCTTTTTCAAGGGTATATGCCAATGGTTAATGATTTTCCTTTTTGGAAAGTCGAGAGTTGCAATATTAGTTTCAAATGTGAGACCTTTCCCCTGAGATACTTGTTTATAGATTGATGGTGTGTTTTATTTGTAGCCCCACCTTGCTAAAAGAGGGTTTTATGTGGCGTCATTGTCCAAACTTGCCCCAAGTTTGATCCATTGCATGGAAATAAGATCAAGCTATTTTTAGTTCATTTGATGCCAAAAACATAACGGGTCGAGGGACCGAGATGGTGCCCATAGATTTGTTCAAAAAAGATAGAAGGAAACACCCCTCATTGGCACATCTACATACAGGATAGTGTAAACTTGTACTTCCTCCGTTTCAGGTTATAAGACGTTTTAACTTTAGTCAAAGTCAAACTGTTTTAAGTTTGACCAAATTTATAGAAAAAGGTAGTAACATTTTGAACCAAAGACAAATTTATTCTAAAAATATATTCAATTATTGATTTGATGAAACTAATTTAGTATTATAAACATTACTATATTTGTCTATAAACTTATTTAAACTTGAAACAGTTTGACTTTGACCAAAGTTGTTTTATAAACTGAAACGGAGGGAGTATTTCCCTAGTTTTTATTCTTCTTATTCTTTTTTTTTTGAGAGAGAGAGAGAGAGAGAGAGAGAGAGAGAGATTTCCCTAGTTCTTCTGCTTAGTTGGAGTGCTCAATTTCATGGCTGCTATGGGTAAGCCGTAGTACATCTCAAAGGGAAGAATGCTAAAAACATAATTCAGCCCTATATGAGAATGAAAAGGCCAATTTATAATGTTGTACGATGGTTCAAGAAGTCTGGTGGTGAGACATGATCATAACTATAGCTAAGAGCAATTAACCAGCTACCCAATCATGCCGAGCCCACACATGTGGTGAAGTTTTGAACCTGCTAGACATGAACAGAGTTTGGAAATGACATGTACAGTATGGAGTACATAGTTGGATGTCTTAACTGAAGATAGATTGATTTGTCATAGTTAAAGAGGCAATTATATTGAAAGGACATGTAATGCATGCGAAATGTACCACTTCATCCATTTCAGAGAGTAATACACACTCCATCAAAGTTACAAAATGGATGTCACTTGACTCACTTCTACTGTACACCCTAAAGGAATAAAGAAAAAAAAACTTCTTTCACCACAGATTTTTCTCAGCCACAAGTACTTAGTATTTTTTTAAAAAAAATTATGTACACTATCAGTACCGCATAACATGTTTTCATGACCAGAAGTATAGAAAAAAAAATAAAGCGATTAGTTCTCTAGCTTTGTTTGTTCGGATCAATTGAGATGCATCTGATAAGGCGTGAAAAAAAATAAACAAGATAAAAAAAATATAATTTATAGGTAAGAATGTTATGTATGTACTCCATCCATCCAAAAAAACAACCTATAAGTTATAGTCTTAGCTAAGAGAATGTTATGGGACGGAGTGAGTATTGTTTACCGTTTAAATTAATAACAAGTCTTAAAAATAGACTACGATGACAGAACCCAAAATCAAATATAAAATCAAGCTTTAATTGTAAAATTATTTGTTTTCCCGCAAATTTTTTTTAAAATTTTGGCTGTGCATAAGAAGCCAACAAGCAAGAGCTAGCGAGAGCCCCCTTCTCCGTTCCGTTGCCGTCCCGTCCCGCCGCGCGAGATCCGTGGAACACACCAACTCTGTGCACACACGACCAATAAATCTCTCTCGCGCGCGCACACACTCTCCCTCCCTCCCTGCCTTGCCTGCCAATGCATGTGTGCAGTGCTGTCCCTGTGGTGTGATCTCTTACAACTTTTGGCCTCCTCCGGGGGCAGCCTTTAATTGCTTTGCCGAAAGAGACGTGGCCTTTTCATCCCACACACACATGCATATGGCCGATCGATCACTGGAACAGAGAGATGCACTTGCTCATCAGTTTGCTCCTCGATGGCATAGGTGGCATTAATGCGTGTAGCTCTACAGCTAATTAAACGAGGAGATTAATAAACAACTCGATCAGGATCTCGCTTTGCCGCTGCTGCAGCATGCATGCATGCTACTACGCTGCTATGGTTGGGTGTTTGTTTCCCCCTTCTGTATCATCATGTGGTGTTGTTGTTTCTCTCTCTCTCCTCTCCGGCCAGACAAGGGACATTCCAGTGGAATGAAAAACTCAGCATTAAAATCCCCAACACCCTGTCCTTGCCACATGATCGAGATGGTTATTGCTACGTAGTACTCCCCCTACTGCTGCTGCTGGCTGGCTGCTGCATTGGGCCCTCTGTCTCTGAATGTGTACGGGTCCGGCTGGCTCAGTGGCTCACGTGATCGCTGGCTGTCCAGAAAACTCACATAGGAGTAGTAATTTTTTTTTATTCACAGTGATATACTCCCTACTACTACTACTATATTATACATCCAAGTTGATCTGCAACGAGTATCTACGGCGTGTTTACTTCGTGTGCCAATTTTTTTTTAAAGTATATAAACACACATGTGAAGTATTAAACGTAGACTAATAATAAAACAAATTACAGATTCCGCCTGTAAACTGCGAGACAAATTTATTAAGCCTAATTAATCCGTCATTAGCAAATGTTTACGGTAGCATCACATTGTCAAATCATGGTGTAATTAGGCTTAAAAGATTCATCTCACAATTTACATGCAAACTATGCAATTGCTTTTTTTCGTCCACATTTAATACTCAATGCATGTGTCCAAATATTTGATATGACGAAATTTTTAAAAGTTTGAAGGGAACTAAACCCTGATTTTTTTTGCAAAACCGGGTGATACTCAGCACAGGTCTGCAAAACCGGGTTTCAGTCAAGATGGCTCGTACTCGGCTCGTACATGGACAAGCTTATTTACTTGTACAGTTTTATGGGAAAAGTAGTGGTAGTAGTACAAACACTGGAGTGACATTTTTGCAAAGGACAATTCATTGCCAAAGAATTTCTGTCGGAAAGATGATAAAAATAAGTCCAGTCCTTAGTGCCCAGTCAAATCAACCAAACCGTGCACTAACGACGTAGAGAAGGTGTTAATTACACCTAATTACAGAGGCAATCAATTCTTTCTTTCATCAAGGAAAGGAAAAGGCAGAGTACGAGTACTTGCTACTGTTACTCCCAGTTGTGATAAGGGCCTTTAGCTGAAGTAGCTTTTCTTAAGGATGCGTCATGTCAAATCGATTTGATTAGTCGATTTTGTTTGATTTGATGGGTTGGACTGGACTATACTTGCGTCCGGATTCTGCACCGGTCGGTGGCGCACCCAACAGAATCCGGCCAGTACAGCCGCAACGCTGGCAGGCGCCTCCTTTTCCCTCTCTTGTCACCTTCTCCCTCTCTTTTTTTCCTCCTTTCATGTCTCGGCAACACCTGCGCATTGCACGGTGCACTTGCCAATTTCGTTGCATGTGTGGACTCGATCAGTGAAAATGACATACATAGAAAAAAAATCAGGCGCAAAATTTATTGGTACAATAATATATCCAGGTGTCTTTTTTGATTGTAGTGGAAAGGTTATAGTGACAAATAATAAATGACCACTTTTGTAAGTATTAAGCCAACAAAACCCCACCACCTATATCGACCATTAGAGAATTGAGCATTTAGGTACTTCGATAAGATGTACAACAGAAAAAAAACTGATGTGCTTATTCACATGAGTTCTCACTACCCGTCCAAAAATATAACAACTTTTAGCTATAAATCTGGGGCAACATATCCTATGCACACAGGCCCTCACGTGTACACACGTGCACACCAACTAAAAAATGTCACCAAAAAATATAGAAAAAATCATACACATACTTTCAATTGTATTACACCTAGGGTTAAAATATTAACGTCAAATTCATTATATTTTAGCCGTAACAAAAAAAACAAAAAAATCTGACAGTTTTAAGGTTATAATTTTGTCAGAATTTTATCTTTTTTGTTATTCTCTATGTAGAATGAATTTGAAGATGTGACTTTGCACGTAGATGTAATACTGTTGAAAGTACATGTATGAATTTTCCTAGAATTTTTTGTGATAATTTTTAGTTGATGTACACGGTGTGTACACGCGAGGGCCTGTGTGCATAGGATACGCTCCCTAAATCTGGACACATGGTTGTCTATATTCATAACTAAAAATACTTATATTTTGGAACGGAGGGAGTATAAGTTAGTCATTACTCCATTCATTCTAAAATATAAGAAGCTAGGAACAGATGAAATATTTCCTAATACAATAAATCTGGACAGGGTGTATGTCCAGATTTGTTTTACTAGGAAATGTTTCATTCGGTCCCAGATTCTTATAAGGTATTTAATATGACTATAAATTGAACTATTTAATTGATTCGCAGATATTTGATTTACGCTATTTATATATTATTATTTCTTTCCATATCCTCTCCACCATTCCCCACCACTTTATAGTCCACCTAGACGGAAAGACGAGCCTAGTATGGCCTATATATATATGGTTGACGTAGAT